TAGTGTGGGTTTGTGAAGTAGGTGTCCAGTGGCACAGTCCTGAGAGGGGTTCAGCTGCAGGCCAAATTTAGCCTAAGCCTCTGTCCCTCCGAGGCTACCTGTTAAGATTCAGCAAGCAATCCACAGATGCTGTGCTTATAGTTGCCTCAAAAGGCTACACCAGAAACTGAGGCCAGCTGCCTCCAGTGTGAGTCTAGGCACTGCTCAGCAAGGGGCACCTGACTTGCTGAGGATGTACCTGGATGTGGCTTGGGTAGGGCTGCGAGTTTGGAGAGATGGAGTTTCAGGGAATCCTCTGGGCATAGCGACCTCTCTTATTCAGTTTGATGACGTCACAGCAATGGTGGCGCTGTGTCCAGGCACTGGGAGGGGAAGGGCCCAAGAGGGAACAATGGATACCACCAGCACTTCTGTACAGAACAAGTCTCGCCTCGGCCCTCACTCCGACAGTGTCTCCCTGTAAGTCCCTGGTGCTCCCTGTGCACCACCGAATGGGCACTGGTGCTCAGAGTGAGCAGGTCCGTCACCATGAAAATCTGCTCATGAAAGCGGCCCCTTTAAGAGGCTTCTGCTGCTGCCGCAGCCTCTGTCTCACTCAGCTGCTCAGGACGGGGCAGTTCCGCGTCCTTGCCCCGTCCCACCCTCTGCCATCGCAGGGTGATTTCTCGAATATCTCCCTAGTTGTATGGCTTGTTCCTCTAGATCCCAGGCAAGTTTTCCTTGCTGCTGCTGCTTGTTTCCATCACAACCCCGATTTGGTCACTAGAGGGATGAAGAGAGCCTCTATCATCTACACCATTTTTCTTCTTCGTAATTTTTTAAACTTTCCCTTTAAACTCCTTCATCACACCTTTTTTTCCTATAAACTGGAATCTAGCTTAACGTTTGGTCAGAGTTGGCAAAAGCATTATAATACCCTTTACTGTAATTGTCCCATATTAAAGTGATTAGAAGGAGGCTCAACCAGCATAAAATTTTTAAATTTCATTTAAAATATTATCTGGTGATTTAACCATGTTTGACCATGAATGGGAAGTAGCCAAAAATCTTTAATGGAGTTAATTGCTCTATAGGAAGCCCTTTCCTTCTTTTTGTGCACAACTGATTCAAAGTTTAAAAAATAGAACCTTTATCATTTTTTGTTACAAAATTGCTAAGTTCTTATTAAATGGTATGTGTGTGGTCATCATTTATTCTTTTAAAAAAGTTTTTGTAGGATTTAGGGTTCTAATTCTTTTCACAGTCTGTTGCATTTCCATGTTATTAAATTCCTATATCTCATTGATGAGGAAATTATACATATTAGTATGGGGCAGTAAACAAGAAATCTAACATCTGTACCCTTTTTGTAATACCTTCACACTCTGTTTTGATTTGATTTTGCCCTTCGGAAATGCTTTCTTAGGTTTGTTTGTTCATCTTTGTTCCAAGACCCAAGATATTTCAAATCCCCTGAGACAGCGTTATTAATAATGGTACCTGTTGTCTTCTTTGTATTATTTACTCTGAATTTTTAGTAAAACCAGAAATGAGTTCAGTGCCTGTGTTGACTCTCCATGTACCGTTTCAGAAAGATTCTTGTGCCAAACCTACTCTTCCCACCAAATGCAGCATTACATAGCTGGTATAAATCCTTTTCATTCTTCCTGCCCTTCTCAATGACAGTGACTTTGCCACTCCTGGAAGAGTTGGGTTTAGCTCAAGTGGCAAATAGAGGAGAACCTATAATTATCTTTATTCTTTTCTAGAATTAAGATAGACTTTTTTGGTTTATTAACTGGTATATTAAGTAGCATATAATCATCAATATTAATTTGTTACACATTGGATACAAAGTATTATGCAGTTTATGTGAGTTCTGTAATTTAGTGGTCACGAAAGTTTGCTCATATGTACAATATAGCTAAATTTGAATTGAGGTTAATCGAGAGTTTGGTTAGAGATAATCTAAACATTAACCACCTTTACTGGCTAATGTCCAATCTTTTTGGTAAGTCCATATTTTGGAAAGTCACTTAGAATGAGAGTTATGGAGCTTGTAATTTGTATTAACAATAAATTACTTTCCTGTGCTATTTACTCAAGCCCTCATGTGCTATAAAAGCTTATTGACTGAACAGCTAACCTCTGTAAAAATCAATCTCGGAATCAGCATGTTTTGGCTTTAATGAATATTTCATGCATGTAACATTAACATAACTAAAAATAAATTCAGCACATAAGAATAAAGTGGACTAGGAAAGTGTTTTGGGGTTCATCATAGAAATATTTTGAGTCAAATCCAAGTATTTAAGAAGCATGTATCACTATATTAGGTGAGCAGCCTCTTTCAGGAGTAAGGGACATCATGAGTAAAGGTTAGAAGGTGAAAGCCAAAGGACCATGTATGAACAATTATAAGATTTCCCTGGGAAGAGTAGAGATTAAGGATAAGAGTATATAAAGCTGATTAGGTAGGGTGGGGGCAGAGGAACGAGGGTCTTGAAATCAGCAGATGAGTTTATGCTGGAGCCAGAGGGCATCTAGAACCATCGGAAGGCTTTGATGAGTGCTATGAGCTTGTAAATGGACACATTTAGAGGAGCATTTCAGTGTTGCTTATAGACTAGACTAATGGAGAGACCAGATTTGAATGTGCCAGATCTGGTTAAAGGTTTGGATTGTAAATACAGAGATGAGAAAAAGTCGAGGGATGGGTGGAGAAACTGTATTTGCTTGAGGACATGTCTATTAGGAAAACAGTATCAAAAATTTGAAATAACAAGATTAACAACTTGGTGATTAATTCATCCCCAGTGATTTCTCTATTAGGTGTTTCCTTTGTCTTACTGATCTAACCACCCATTCATTTCTGATCCTGTTAGGTGTGTGGTTTGTGTTTCTTCTCTTTATATTTCACATGAAGTAATCCTTTCTAGAATTTAAGTATCCATTCAGTTTTCTGCTTTTTATTTTTAAATTTGAATTTGCCTCTAAATGACTCTTTTATATTATTTTAGCTGCATTTACTACTGGGAAAATTCCTCTACGGGTGAACGTTGGGATGAAGAATGATTTGCAATACATTTTTAGTGTACAAGGTTGCCTCACTGAGGAAATCCTAAACTACGTTCCCTTTTTTAGTGTGATCAATATGTAGCCTTTTGCAGAGAGTGGGCAGGTCAGTTAAACTAAGTAATTAGCAGTCACTGTAGGACTACCTTAGCAGTGTGCTATTTATTAGTGGGGACTAAGTGGTGCTTCTATTTTCAGACTTGAGCCTAGTGTTGAAATAACTATAATTTACATCTACTTTATGCCTGTAGCCAGGGAAGCAAACTCTCAATATAAATCTGCTGTCTTTTTGATTTCTTCTAACAGAGTTTTCTTTTGCATCCATTCATTTAATATATACAAACATACACACACATACGTACACATACATTCAGAGATGAGAATATATATGTACAGAGATTGTGTGTGTGTGTGTGTGTGTGTGTGTGTGTGTGTGTGTTGTGTAATTTTCTCATTTTTAGTTAAGGTGTTTATTCTCTCCTGCTTGACCTACTTCGATAGCTTTTAACAATTCCTTTTGCCTCTATATCCCTTCCATTTTTCCTCTTCAGGGCTGTCAGATTGATCTTTCTGTAATACGGCTTTGGGGCCTGTCGCTTCTTTGCTTAAAGGTAGTCAGTGGCTCCCCCATGCCTGCTGAATGCAGTCCAAATTGCTTTACCTGTTGTTCAAGGTCACCCAGTATCTGACTTCAACATACCTTTTCAGGTTTATTTCCCACTGTTTTTCTCAATATCCTCCCATGTTCCCTACAAACCCGATATAGCTAACTTCTCCCTAATCTCACCTTGTGATATACCTTCTCTGCACCTTTACTTATTTCTGCCCCTTCCACTTGTAACATCCCCACCATATTGCTACCCTTTAAAACCCTGTGAATCTTTTTATTTTATTTTATTTTATTATTAGTTTCAAGTATACAGTGCATTGGTTAGAAATTTATATAGTTTATAAAATGATCCCCCTAATTGCTCTCTCTTCTCTGGCTCTCCACCTAGCCATTACATTAATGCTAACTACATTCCCTATGCCGTGTTCCCCATCCCCGTGACCATCTATCAATTACTAATTTGCCTTCTTTAACCCTTCACCCCATTCTCCCAGCCCCCACCCCCGTCCCCCTCCCATCTGACCATTGGAAGCAACCTAAATGCCCATAAACAGACGACTGGATAAAAAAGTTATGGTTCATATATACAATGGAATATTACTCAGCCATTGAAAAAATAAATTCTATCATTTGCAACAACATACATGGACCTAGAAGTTATTATGCTCAGTGAAATAAGTCAAAGATAAATCCTATGAATCTTTTAAGGGCTAATTAGGTCCCATCTCCATTGTGAAAAGTCCCCTGACAGCCCCAGGTGAAAGCCATCTCTCCTTCCTTTGAATGCTGTTTTGTTTGTTTACTGAGAACTAATACGTATGTATTATAACAATATCAGGCCATAAACTTTGGCACTCCTCATCCCAACTCAGTTGCAAACCCAAGTCAGGGACCATGTCTTTCTCCTCTGTAGCCTCATTTCTCATCCTCCCCACGCCTCAAAGGCATTAGCACAGTGTCTTGCACTGGTAGTGATCACTGCTCAGAACTGCTGTGAGGGACTAGTTTGACAGGTTAGTATATAAAAACTGCCTAGTTTTACTCATCGTATCAGGTGTCATGTATGCATGGGAGGGAAAATTGAGTTTGTCAGATAGATTCTCTACTTGTTACTCTGTAGTCCTAAATTTTAAAAAAGATAGTGTTCTAAAATTGTGTTAAATTAGATATTTGGTGCTTGGAACTAACTTTGACACTAAAAAGTATTGTAATTACAATACTATAAATACTGTATATTTTATAAAGCACTATTACTCTGATTTTTTAAATTTCATCTTATATGCAATATTTCAAAGTCTAGGTAAAGCCACAAAATAATGTTTAATTCATAATGTATCTAGTAATACTAACAGCCTACCCACCATATATCACATGGTCATTTGGGGGAAATGCACTCAGCATTACCACTCACAATGCCAGGGAACACATACTCCCCCACTCCCTCAGTCCCCTACACATCTCTGACAGCAAGATCAGATTTCTCCTTTTACTACCACACCTGAAATGTGTGATTCATACTCAAGTTCTTGGTGGCCCATGGTGGAATTGGAGGATTCCAGTTGGGAGTTGGCTGGGGAGATGTGAGGAGCTTTGAGAGACCTAGACTCTGCTGGCCCACTGCTCCACCACCCCTGGGTTTAGGCTGCTTCCCTGTCCCTATGAGGTAAATATAGTTATCCCTATTTTAGAGATGAAACGAAGGCTTTGCAAAGTTTAGTTACTTGCTTGATGTCTGTACAAAAGTAACGAGGCAGAACAGAGATCTGTACCCAGGACTGTACCAATGCCTGTACTCTTTCCACTAACTCTGCCGCCTTGTAACTGGGGTTTTTCACTGTCTTTAGCCTGCTATGGAGTGGAATACATTCTCGCAGCATTTTTCTGCCTCTTTGTTCAGGAAGCAGTCATATTGTTCTTTTTGAGTTGTCTAAGGGAGCATAGTGGTAATGACTGTGGAGTCAAACCTGAGTTGTAATCCTGATTCTGCCACTTACTACCTATTAGTGTGACCTTGGGCAAATAATTTAACCTCTCAGAGCCTCAGTTTCTTCATCTGTAAAATGGGAATAATATCACTTTGCACACGTGCGCAGACTGAGTGACATTGTATATGAGCACTTTGCACAGTTCCCACTACATGGTGGAAGCTCCCTAAGTGGTGGCAGTACTTATTGTTGTGCTGCTGTAATTGGATTGTAGTAATAACACAAACAACAGATGGTTTAAAAGCTTTCTAATTCAGTGCTTCTTCCGTCTCCCCTGCTTTTCTTTTTTTTCTCTTATACTTTATAAGATAACACAATAGGAATAAAGATGGATGTTCTGAACCACAAAGATCTGAAATGAAATTAATTTACATTTCAGAGGGACCACCATATTTAGAGACTCTAGGGGCCTTTGAGGAGGAGAGTGGGTTTGGGAAGATAGAAAGGAGTGTGGCTGGCTAGGGTGAGAGGAATGACAGAGAAGAGAAGCATACCGTCTCCTGAATGGCCATAGTCAGGCTCACAACCAAATTCTCCCGTTGAAGTGGCATTATGGTGGAGCAAGAAGCCACATGGTGCCATAGCAGGGCCTGCCTCCAAGCAGCACATAAAAAGGAAACATCAGTGGGCATTTGGCCAGGTCAACTGACAGCTGCCAAAGGACACAAAAGTCTAGGACTGGAAACATGTATGTTTCTTGAATGATAGTCTCAGTAAACTGCACAAAAATTTAATATGCATAATAGACAACTTTGCATGTGAGAATGTGTTCCATTTTCAACAATCATGATTTATCTGAAGAATTCAAAACTATTTAAAACATATGTATCTAGTAAGCTTGTGGGTTCTAATAATACTGATCTATTTCTAATTCTGTAAATTAATTCTAATCATTTTCTATCTGTCAATGACTTTCTTTTCCTGCTCTGCTCTCAGGAAGAAGACAGCTTCCTAGAAAAGGTAATATAATCTGTTGGTGGTTATACGTTTCCCTGTGCTTGATTAACACTTAACTGTGGTCCCTGGAATTTGTCCCTAGGCTTTCCCATATGAAAAACCTCTAACTCTATGAAAATCCCCCAGAGTCTTGCCCGCTGTCTTTTAGTATATCTGAAGTACAGGAAAGATATGTACTATACTGGTCCAGTCATTGAGACCCAGGACATAAAAAGCAATAGGACTCAAGGTTCCAGACTTGTATTTTTGAAATGAGAAGTAAGTAAAGAGCAGTCTGGTGGTATCTGAAAGCTCATGAGTTGGAGCAGGATACCATTTAGCTGTCCTCCATTTCCAGTGATAGTAAAACCAGAAGTGACTTTCTGTTGCAGTAAGAGTGATTTGAGGTTAGTGATAATGTAATGAATTACCAAAAGAATACCCAGATATGGTCAAGAAATAGAGCGTAGAACAGAATCATAGAGCTGAATGAGCTCATAAGGGATTACTGGTCCAACTCTCTGCCTTCAGACAGGGTAAGGTGTTTTCTCCATTTTAATTGATGAGGCAACCAAGGTCCAGCAAGATTGTGAAACTCACTAGAGTCATATACTGCTCCTGACATCAGGGGTGTGAGCTAGAAAGGACAAGAACCCAGGTCTCCTGAATGCCTAGTGAAAGAACCTAGTAAGGCACTCCTTCTGCAGCTTTCCACCTCTTTGAGCTGGAGAGTGCCTGGCTCGACACAGGGCTATCAAGCAGGGAAGCATATGCTTGAAAAACATTTTTAAAGCACTTTCATACAGTATCTAATGAGACCTCCCCATTTGGTGGAGTTCAGGGATTTTGATGATGGGGATGATGTACTGTTTTTATTCTTCTGTTATTGACACTAAGGTTAAAATGTTTGGGCTTATCAGGTACCAGATGTGTCTCACTGAAGGAAAACAAAGTGTACCTGGTTTCCCTTTGAAAATTAGAGTTCAGGATAATTTGTGGATTTTTAAAAAAGTATTGTTTCTTTGCACGATCTTTCTCTAGACTTTGAGGATATAAGTATGACGTTTCATATGGTCACACATTAATTTGAAAATGGATAGTGGATGGTGTATATAACCTACTGACATTTTATTAACCTTTTTAAACCACTAAGGATTGTAACAGCTCTGCCTCCCAGCCGTTTCCTGTTAATAGGCCATGTTCTATCTTTTCATCTTGGACAGTGTCTTGTGTTGCCTTAATACCTTAGCACCAATTGGATGTCAGATTTTTTTAAGTACATGCATGAATCAGTGCTGAATAATTTATATATGGTAAGTTTGGAGGCATCTGCTAAAGAATCTACATGTGTTGCATTTGGTTAAGGTGAGCAGAGTGCATTATGAATGGTGTTGTGGCTCAGATATCATGTGGATGCCTAGATTTAATACTTACACCTGGAAAAAAGTTAGTGGATAAGCCACTGATAGAAGCTCTAGGAAACATGAATATCAAGTGATAGAAGCCCAGGGAAAGAAAGAAAAGAAGCAAAGTTAATGTAGAAAAATTAGATTTTAAATGGTAACCAGCTGTCATGCTCCCTTCTCTTTCTCATTCCCTTAGACACAGTGGCTTTAAAAGGCCACCAGTGCTTACTGAAGAACTTAATGTTAAGAACAGCCCTCAGCTCTGCAATAGTAGACAAAGTCTCTGGAAGTAGAGAAATGCTTCTTTTCTTTCCCTTATAGCCACATGGCTGGAGGTTGTGGATGGAATTTACAGAATTTCCTCGTGGAGGAGGGGGAAAGACACAAAACATTGGTCACTGTTTTCTCCCCTAGGATTTTTCTGAAGGCTGCCTTCAGATGCCTTTTAACCTATGCCAGACATCTTTTTGATATAATTTATATTTGACTGTATAAACATAAGATAATTGAGTTTATTCCACTGCCATTTTCAAGTTTAGATTTAGTTATTGATTTGCTCTATTTCTCTTAGATTCTTTCAGGAGAATCTAACAGAAAGTAGAAAGATAGGTGAAGGTAGTCAAAACCACAAGAAATCTTTGCTGAGCTATCAGTGTGAAAAATAACTTCTGGACTGAGACCCTAGACTTTTCATAGATTTCTGGCTCTTGCTATGCTATATTCAGTTTACTATTTTTGGATTTTAAGGTTTATGACTTCTAGTACATTACGATTAGACCTATCAAGCCTGAAATAGTTCATGTATGTAGGTCTATGTGGAAAATTGTCTTTAATTCCTGAGGACCACAGAACCTCATTTAAATCAACAATGAAAACTATAATATTTATGATTAAACCTGAAAGAAGAATAAATTAAAAGTCAACAAAAACTTAAGTAGATGCTGCTCTCTCAGAGTACTGTGTTAACAATTATAATTTAATGGTCTGCAAGTCTCTGGTGGCCTATGGACTCTACCATGACTGTATTGCTGGTCTCAGTGTCACCCTTGAGAGGATTTATAACACACAATACAATGATAAATAATATTAACAACACACAATACAGTGATAAACATATTAAACCTAAATGGAACGCTTAACAGTTAAGTGAAGCATCTAAAAAAGGAGATCTTCTAACTGTGGGAATCAGTAACAAGTACCTTCTAACCAAGGGTGTCCCCAGTGTGAATAAAAAACAACAAAATCTTGAGACACAAATGTCAAATTGTAGCCATATAAAGCAGAATTTGAAGCTTTACAGACAGAAGTTTTTATTGAGACCCCTTTGATTCTCATTGTTTTTCATCTCTTAGGAGAAATCCCTTCTGCAGATGGTTCCCTTGGATGAAGGTGCCAGTGAGAAACCCCTTCAGGTCCCCAAGGAGATCTGGCTTCTGGTAGATCACTTATTCAGATATGCCTGTCACCAGGTAAATGAGAGTGGGCCTGCCCTGCAACTTTGGAAGGTGTGTGAGTCCAGTGGGAAATACTAATACCTCATGTCAGTATAGAGCTTTTAATGTTCCCAAGCTACCTCCACAGAGCAGCGCTATCAGATTGCCTGAGAAGATGGAGGTATCCCTGTTTACAGATGTGAGAGCTGAAGCATGCAAGCTAAGTGATTTACTTAAGACCACAGCATAAGCATAGTGGCAGAGCTGGGTCCTGAACCCAGTAGTCCTGTCTCCTGACTACACATGCTTTCCCCTGGACCACTGTGTTCCTGAGTCTATTATGCCTGCTTTAGCCTGTACCTGATATCGTGTAAGCATTGCAGATGTTAAAGTTCAAAGCAAACTTGAAGTCCATTCTTTAATTTGGTCCTCATTTTTCTTTTAAGTCCTATCTCATATACTAGCCACTCCCAAGCCATTCCCTCAAAAATGAGGAATTTCTTGGGACTAAATTGAAGGGCAATGTGTCTTACCTACTGAAGAGTAATAGAACTTGAAAGCAAGGTTTGGTATGGACATGCCATTTACTCCTGCCCTAGCATTCCATAGTACAGGTCTCCCCTGCTATCTGAGAATAGAGAATTCCTATGAAACTTTTCATAAGCCATAAAGCAAAGAAGCAATTACCATTAATTTATATGAAAAAAGTCTTGAGTGTTCCCAGACCCAAAAAATAACCTACCAAATCATACCAAGTAACACATAAAACCTAAAATAACACTAACATAGTAAAATCAGGAATGCACAAAATAAATGGAGATAAAGCACAAATACTCACAACATAGTTCAGAGCTATAGCAGCTTGATGCTGAGATACTGAGTGTGGTTTCCGGGGAAGGAGCTTGGCGGGGCCACTCTCACTGCTAGGGATGTATGCTGCTTGTATAATAGCTCACCGCAAGTCAAACACTGAATGTTAATTTAGCTTTTCACCTTTTCTCATAAAAACAAAAATCTTCAGATTTCTTTTAGTAAAGCAAAGTGGCATAACACGAAATTTCAAAAAGTGGGGGATACCTTTATCGGTGTTTGAATGTGGTTCTGCTTTGACTCTGCCTTCTACTTGTCAAGAGACTAGAAGTGTTAACCCCTGCTCTCCAGATCTAGCCATCTAGGCCCTTACAATATCAGGTACAGGCTAAACCCTTTGAAGATAATTTTCTGGTTTGAAATAAAACTTCACATGGATTATAGAGATGATAAGAAGAGGCAGCACCATTGTCACACCTCCATTCCTAAATCATGGATACACATACCACCCTTCCCTTTATTTTGTGCTGCTCTCCTGATCTCTGGGTAGTCTTCAGAACCTTAGGACTTTTTATCATTCCTTGTGACCTCTTTGGTAGGAGGACCTGTTCCAAACCCCTGGAATGCAGGAAGAGTTACAGCAGATCATAGATTGTCTAGATACCAGCATTCCTGAGACAATCCGTATCCTTTTCAACAAAGGCTTAGGAAGCTGAATGAGTACTTGGCCAAGCTCCTCTTCTCACCTACATTTGATTTTTGTGCTTCCATCTTTATTTTCTTCATAACTGCCTTTTATTATAAGGTAATCATGGACTATACAGTTCTTTCTCAGTTTGTTTCAGGAACTTTTGACCTCTCTGTACCAAACTCTTACTGAAAGGAATCAGGGGTAAGTAACTTTTAATAAGCATAGAACATAGGACCCACAGCACTGGTACTGTTCTGTTTCAGGCCACTGATGAGGCCACCATGTGTCCTGTCACTAGGACAGGAAGGAGGATGGGAAACATCAGCAACTAGTTTCTAGGACTAATCTAGTGTGGACTGTCATTGTGCAGGCTATATTCCCTTGACTCTCAAGTTGGGCCAAACCTTCCAAGAGTCTGATCAGTTCTGTAACAACTCAGCTGCAACATACCTGGGCCAGTAAAATATCAAACCCTGATTAGGATCACTGTGCCAGGAATAAGAGGAAGGAAACCATCACTGAGGGAGCTTGAGGGGAGCAAATCAGGTGTCTGTGTGCCTTTTTTCTCAGAGCTTCTTTCCCTTGACTTAAGTCAATCCAGCTGGCAGTAATCACTCTGTGGCTGAGGCATTGCTCATTTTCCTGGAAGCCCTGCCAGAGCCGGTCATCTGTTATGAGCTGTATCAGCGGTGCCTGGACTCAGCTCAGGATCCCCGGGTCTGCCGTCAGGTGAGTTTTATTGTTCTGAGGATGTGTTTGGGGCAGGGTCCCCCACAGAGAAATCATTGATTTTACAAAGCCAGATGGTTCAGCTAACTATGTGGTAGAATGAATCTGGATCTGTTTTTCATGGCAGCACACCAGCGCTGGGAGGTGGGACCCATAAATTTTAGGTTGTGTTATTTCCTATTTGGCACCTTTTTCCAGTTTGTCTATTAAGTAGGGTGATAACCTCTACCCTGCGGTAACATTGCTGAAGCTGATCACACATGGAATTCTGGCTGACATTACTTGTGAGCCTTTCTTCTTTTTGTCTTCTTGGTGTTACAATAGCTGAGAATACCTCTGAATCAGACTAGTATTGGGAGGTGCTCCTATCCATGCTAAATGACATTGCAGCGAAAATTATTCAGCTTGGCAGATGCCATGGGTACCTCGCATTTTCCCGTTATAGGGAGATGGGAAAAGACCATATTAACACTGACCTGCTTGTGAGGTAGGGCGTGTGTATGAATGTATGATGATGGCATGGCCTGGTACTGAGTGGACTGGGGCCAAACAGTATGACTGTTCTGACTTGGAAGTTATCATTTGGCTGGTACTGTGTTGGTCATAAGTAAATCAAAGAGGGTTGGGACAGGTGAATGGGGTCCTGTAAGGGTTGGATTATAAACTAATTATATGGCAGCTATAAGCTCTTCTAACTCCTGTTTTCCACCTATTCTCACTGCCTACCCCTTTTTTAAAAAATAGGTGATTTCCCAGCTTCCAAGATGCCATAGAAATGTCTTCCGTTACTTGATGTCATTCCTTCGAGAACTCTTAAAATTCTCTGAATGCAACAATGTCAATGCCAACATGATCGGTAAGAGTACTTCATAAATGGCCACAGCAGGTGCTGGTCGGGACCATCTGAATGGTGTACACAGTGTATTCTGTCCTTAATGTGTAGGCACAGGACAGTCACTTCCTTCCCACTGCCCTCATTCCTTAGCCCCTCACCCCTGTCCCTGAGGCTTTGCTTAGATCATCTATAGCAAGAGATTTCCCTCCTTTTCTTTCCTTGCCCTCTAGCTACTCTCTTTACAAGTCTTCTCCTAAGGCCTCCACCCAACCTGATGACAAGACAGACTTCAAGTGACCGCCAGCGTGCTATCCAATTCCTTCTGGGTTTCCTGCTTGGGAGCGATGAAGACTAATAAGCCTTTTTCTTTTAACTACTCTCCAAGATTCTAGAGGTGGAAGATCTTAAGTACCAAGTATTTCAGAATGATTTGCAAAGTCATGCCACAGGATGGGTTTACTGCAGAATTCCGAGGCTGTTGGCATGAAAAAAGTTGTTTCTAATGCGAAAGGAAGAGAATTTCCTAGTCCCTCCTTTACCATATCCTACACAGAAAAATACCTTTAGACTTACATTGCCAAGCCAAAGTTATCATATTTTGGTGTTTTTTGTGTTCTCTCTTTATAAAGCAAAGAGGTCTGTATTTACACTTCTTTACCTAGGGATGTGTTTGTTGCCTCCTGCCCAGCTGTCATGATTGTCTTTAGTACCTTAGGCCTAGATTCTGAGATGTTCCTTTTCTAGGCCTATAAACACTACTTGTTGTAGCTCAGATTTGTGTGTAGTCCTTCCTCTAAAGCACTTTTGCCCCCCCTTCACCATGTCACCCCTTTGCACTCCACTTCACTAGTATTATCACATTGAAGGAAGTCTGAGTAAGGTTAGTGACTCCTTCGGTGTCCCTAACAGTGAGGTGAGAGCATCTACATGTGGTTATTACATGCATTTGTGCATTTCTACTATAATGGTGTCTGTATGTTTCTGTAACATTGGCCTTTTCATAGATCTATACTGGATGGAACCATATTCTCTTGTCTTAGACCACATCTAGTAGTAGAACCTTAGAGACTATTAGAGATGACATCCCATTGATGTGAGAGAATCACAGTCAGAATGGAAGTACTTTGAAAATTTCAGGAGTGAGAATATTCATGTTTGACAGATCCTGCTTCCTACCATCCCTTTCTTTTATTCAAATTTTACATGAGAACTAATTCTGGGTGTCTATGGGACCTATCCCCCACTTAGAAATCCACCTCTGGAGCAACACTTGTACCACAGTCAGAAAGCAAGTCTGCACCTCAAGCAGACCTTTCTAGAGATACTGCTGCTTTCTCCAGTAAGGAAATACTGAGGATAACCCTTGGACCCCTCTTCAGTCTCCCAAAGTACAAGGGGGCGGGTATCACCTCCTCCCTCATCAAGGCTGACTGGGTTCAACAGCTAGCTCCCTTTGGCTCCCAGCCACTTTGTCCAGTGCTGTGTAAGAGAGACTGTGCAGTGAGACCAGCCAAGCACCTTTCTCTCCCATCCGAGAAAACTCTCTGTGGGGCAGTCCTTTTTTTTTTAGTCTATGTTGGTTGGCAAACCAGCCACCAGCCACTGACTACAAAACTGCCTGGTGCAATTGGCTTCCTCCTGGTTTTCTTTCTTTAAAACCACCCTGAGTCCACTCATGCTTGCCTGTTACCATTAAATCCAAAGATCCTAAAGGGCAGGTGCTGCATCTGGTCTTGGGCTTTGACTCCTGACTCTTCGAGTATATTGGAGGAGAGAGCCAGGAAAAATACCACAGCCGAATGGTTCTCCAGTTTCCCCATCACTTATAAGTTGAGTTCTTTGAGGGAAGAAAAGGTACGTATCCTGCAATAGACTGATTAAACCCTTTCCTGACTGGGAGTTATGGAACTAGGAGTCAAGTTATTGGTGCCACATAGTTGTACAATAGAAGATGGTAAGCAGAACACTTTGGTTATCTCTATTAGGCCAGAAAGTGACAAGGCCATAACACAAAGACAGGGCAATGCCTGTCCTGGGCCCATTTTCTAGTATGTTGCCAACCTGGGACCTCTGGCTGATCAAGGATGTGGTTAGTGGGGGCCATGTGCAGCATCCTAGCTCTTCATAAAGCAAATGAACTAATTTGGTTTACTACTTCGACCTTTTTCAGCTCTGGTCCTGGGATGTACACAGGGTTGAGGGATTTAGACAATCTAGGTAGCGGAGACAAGAAATAGAACAAACATAAGAGAGATGCCTCCCTACTGTGCCTCCTCTAGCACCTCAACCTCTAATCCCTAAGTACCTCTAATGTACTAGTACATAGCACCTCAGAAGTAAAGAGTTCATATCCAACTGGTAGGGAAGTGCTCTGTATCTATGGTTTTAGAGAAGAAACTGTTCAAACTCATGTGGTGATGTTGCATTAATGTCCCTTTCACTGTTTTCTGATTCTTATTCTATAATTATTTGTTATATTTCCCCAGAATGTCATGGTCACTTAGCAAAGCTGCTAGTGGGATTCTGTATTTTGTGTCATCTTTTTTATTATTTATTGCAAATTTTTCTCTGAATAAATATATGTTGTGAAAAAATCAAAGTGTGATCTTGGTGAAGAACTGAGGAGAGAGACATGTCCCTGAGTCCCATTTGCTGCAGTTCCCACAGCTACACCTGTACTGTCATTTCCTGTCTTACAGAGAAATCTCAAGAATTCTCACTATATTTACCCTTGGAGAGTAGAAGCAGCCACATATTTTCAGAGGCTAATAAAGAAGTCAGTGCTTTCGGAGGCCAACCAAGGATTCTTATTTAATCCTAGATATTCAAGCAACAAAATAACAGTTAGGAGAAAGGATGTTGATTCTTAATGCACATAAATGTCACATTGGGTCAGATCCATGAGCACTCCAGGCCCAGAAATCTGACAAACCTCAACATACTTATTTTGAGAGAACCCAGTTGTCCTTGCCAACATAGCCTCGGTAGTTTCAACATGCCCCCCAAAGAGCCTGTTTTTACATAATTCATTTTGCAACTTCTTTGAAAACAAGTTTTGAACTTTTACTACCTCTTGGAGTGACGAAGTCCACAAATTTAATAACTTTTTTCTCTAATATGAACTCTAGCACTTGAGGGAACCCCTAACTTGAGTGTGGTGCCTTTATTCCCCTGCCATCTCCATTATGGATTTGCACATTCTGATTTCATTCCCTTTGCCACTGAAGGCCTCTGCCAAAGGTTCCTTCTCAACCACGGCCCTCTTCCAGTTCCTTCTGACTGTGAGCTTGACCCTGATGAATGTGCTGATTCAGTGTTGTCATGAACAGTGTTTCTAGCCACACCCTGAAGCCTCAGCAAAAAAAAAAAAGTGTTTTTTGTTTTGTTATGTTTTTTTTTTAAGCGATTTCCCCCGTGGGTGGAGAGTGATACACACACAGCTGTTTTTACAGAGCAGCAGGCAATGTGGCAGAGCAGCCTTAGTGACCACCTTTCCAGAGATTGGAAACTGCATCCTGGGCAGCTGCTCCAGGAGAACCATTAAGGCTTTCCTAACTGCGGGGCAAATTGAAGACCTTGTTCTTGGTCTAATCTAAAGCCGCACACTGTCATAGCAGGCTCACAAAGTGTTAGGGAGAGAGCCTAAGTGATGAACTAATCCAATCTAATTTTTCTGATGGGCAAAGTCAGGCTTAGAGGGGACAATGAGGGACTTAGGTTTGATTTGAATGATTACACGGTATATACCTCCCCCGCCAAAAAAAAAAAAAAAAAAGTCAGCTATACAAAATCTGACAAAGAGCTTTCCAAGCAAAGGAAAAAGCAAATGCAAAGATCCTAAGGTAGCAAAACATCTTGCCACGTTCAGGGGACAGCCAAGCAGAACAGTGTGGTTGAGGGGAGATGTTGGATGAGAGATGGATAGGAAGCTGATCACTCAGGCCTTCAGAGCCCAGGGAAGGAGGCTATCTTTCATTAAATGTGCAACAGGAATCCGTGGATGACCAACTTCTCATCAGTCACCAGTTGCAATTCAACAAATATTTATTGAGCACCTGCTAAGTGTAGGCTACTAGGCAAGGTTCTGAAGAAAACCAAAATGAGTATGACTGGTTATCACATGATAAGGCATATATAATATATAATTAGAGGGAAGAAGGAAGGAAGAGGGAGGGGAGGGAAAGTTGAGGAGAGGGGAAGGAGAAGAGGTATGGTAGAACATCCACAGAAAAGGAGCCAAGGTCAGGTAATTCACAGTATCCTCTATCCCGCCCCTATTTCCTACTGCCCACTTCTCACATCCAACCACCAAATTCAAACCCTCATTATTTCAGGCTTGGGGTATTTCTTTTAATCCCTTTCTAACTAATTTGTCAGCTGCCAGTACCTCTCCCTTTCAGTCTATCCTACATATATCACTACCAGACTAATCTTCCCAATGCACTGCTTTGATATCACTCCTCCAATCAAAAGCCCTCCGGGCCCTTCATCCCCACTTACCACAAAAGTTCCAGTTTTTCAGCCTGGCATTAAAGCCCTCCTTAATGTCAACTCAGCTCTCTGGCCAAATTGCCCACTCTTGACCTACTCTCCACTTCCCTAAACTCATTGACAGTCTCCACGTTGGTTCAATGTGCCAGCCACTGGGAACCCTCTAAACACTACCACGCCACCTGCCCATACCCATCAAACCCAAATGTCACCTCCTCCAGGAAGACTTTCCTCATGACTCCTGCCTCCCCTGAACCCCCAAAATCTTTCCTTTATAACACTTTTAACACACCGCACACCAAAGGGTGTTGCTGCCCCTCTGGGACTAGAAGCGTTGTGAGAGTGGAAACCAAGCATAATTTGGGTTTCCTCATGATGCCTTGCAAAGAACAAGTACTCAATATTTGGTTATTATTTTGTGAATAAATAAACAATATTTAATTAATAAATAAAGATTGTCCTTCAAAGCACTTAAAGATACAAGTCTTATACAATAGGTGTTCCTGAAATGTGTATATATTTAATTATTCATACTGAGATCTATTAACTTTAGAGGCATTCACGCATGTGTGCTTGGTAAGTTATATTAATGTTGTCCAAGAAGAGAATAGCCTTTAGCAGCCATCCACTACTATTTTCTATTGTTTTGTAGGCAATCAATAGCCTTGCTATATTTGCTTTTTAAAGTGATCCTCAAGGTTGCTCAAAAAATTAAAATACAACTACCATATGATTCAGCAATCCCACTTGTGGATATTTATCCAAAAGATTGAAGGCAGAGACTTGAATAGATATTTGTCCCCCCCCATCCATGTTCATAGCAGCATTATTCACAGCAGCCAAAATGTGGAAGCAACCCAAGTATCCGTCAAAGGATGAATGGAGAAACAAAATGTGGTATACACTGGGATATTATTTAGCCTTAAAAATGAAAGCAATTCTGGTAACTGCTACAATATGAATGAACTTTGAAGATATTATACTACATGAAATAAGCCAGCCAGTCACAAAAAGACAAATACTGTATGATTCTACTTATATGAGGCATCTAAAGTAGTAGTCAAATTCATAGACACGGAAAATACAATGGCGGTTGCCAGGGGCTGCGGGGAGGGGGAAATGGGAAGTCGTTTAATGAGTGTAGAGCTTCAGTTTTGTAAGAAAAACGTTTTGGGGATCTGTTGCACAACGATGTGAATATACTTCACGCTATTGAATAATACACTTTAAAATAGTTAAAGTGGTAAATTTTATGGTACTTATTTAACCATAATTAATTTTTTTTACTGCAATTTAAAATTAAAAAAAAAATTAAGGGATTCTCAAAGGGCAAATTTGATCACATCTGTTTAAAACCATTCAGCGGCTTCTTGGAGTTCTTATGAAAACCCACAGGCCTAGCAAGTCTGAGTGTCACTGACTCCAGCCTCTTCCCACATCCTGCCACCCCCATTCTCTCGGCTTCAGCCAAGTGGGACATCTGTCCTTGACTGCTTTCTGCTCCCCCTCACTACAGAGCCAACTCCTCTTGTGCTATGTTCTCCTCACACCTCCAGAGCATGCATCACAGTTTGTAATCTACTTCATTATTTGATGAAAACTGCTCTCTCCCACCAGGTCAGGAATTCAGTAGAGGCACAGACAATGTTATTTTTTTTTCCTTACTATGGTATCCCCAGTGCCTAGCCTAATGCCTGGGACTCAAAAATCTGTGTCATCTGCAACTCTAGTGTTGGCAAAGGTGAGCAAAAACATGCATGTCTGCTGCTTGTCAAAGGGTGAATGAGTGTGACCTTTCTAGAAGCAAATTGTAATATGTGCCAAGAGCCTGGAAACATTCACAGCAATAATTCTGCTTCTAGGAAATGATCCTAGAGTCACACAAAGGCAAAAGTCCACTGAGGTTCATTCCAGCATTATTCATTAGAGCAAAAACTGGAAATAATCTACATAGCCTTCAGAACCAGAAGGTGAATAAACACGTAAATTTTTAAGAATAAAATATTGTGCAGCCTTTACAAATAATGTTGCTGAGGAATGGTGGCATGGAAAAAGGCCAAGATGCAACTTTGAATGGAAAAGCAGGATATAAGTAGGTATGGACTGAATGTCCCTAAATTTAAAAATCAGATATGAAGATAATACATGAAGATAAGACATGTAATGTATAGCATGTTGACTATAGTTAACAATACTGTATTGTATATTTGAAAGTTGCTAAGAGAGTAGATCTTAAAAGTTCTCAGCACAAGAACAAATGTGTAACTGTATAGTGATAGATGTTAACTAGACTTACTATGGTGATCATTTTGCAATACATATAAATATCGATCATTATGTTGTGCACCTAAAACTAATATTTTACAATTATAAACTAATTATATGTCAATTATATCTCAATAAAATAAATTAAAAATAATAATAATATGTAGGCACAAAAATGTTGGAAGTCAATGTTCCATCTGTAAATAACAGTCATCCTTAGATAACATTGTGTATAAAGGAAGGTTTAGAAGCCATTCGAAAGGAGGCTACAGATTTGTCTTGAAACTGCAAGTTGCCTTTGCATAGGAAGCAGCTTTCCCTTAAATTGAATGTGTATTTATAGTGACTTTGGGGATGCTGATGGAGATTATGGTAAAGCCTCCAAGTCACCCTCTGGTGCCAACCTATATGATTTTTTTTTTAATTTTTATATTTGTCCAGTTTTCTAAGTGTTTTACAATGAATGTGCATTACTTTTTTATTTATTTTTTATTTTTTATGTTTTTTTTTCTTTTTTTAATTTTTAATTAAGTTTATTGGAGTAACATTGGTTAAAAAAGTTATATTATTTTCAGGTGTACATTATAATTTGACACCGGTATATTTTATTGTGTGTTTACCACCCAAAGTCCAGTTTCCTTCAGCTACTATATATTTGATCCCCTTTACCCACTTCACCCTCCTCCTGCCCCTCTATATTTGACACCCTTTACCCTGTCTACCTTCCCCCTCCTCCCCCACACCATTAGTAACCACTAGTCCATAGTCTATGTCCATGAGTCTCTATTTGTTTGTCCTATTCCTCTGTTGCTTTTAGGTTTATATCCCACATGTAAGT